AACTTTTACATTAAATAATGCGATGTTGATCAAATCCTTGGTTTTTATACAAATATAAACCTTTTAACTTGTATTACACTAATAGCACTTATGAAACGTCGTCTTTGTTTAAGTTGTTCTATCGCTTTCAGAAACGGCCAGGTAGTTATCAAACTTAATGTTTCTAATGAATCGGATAGTATTCATAGAATCTTTTATCCCATTAAGGGTGATATAGTGGAATCTTTTCCGCAGGGGACAGATTCCCTATTCACGTTAAGCGAGTGATTGATGTTCTTTCTCCTCATTTGTCATTTATATCTATAATGGGATGACGATGATACTGGCGCCATGCATTGTTGACGTGATAGCATGCAATTGTTATGAGTAGGAGGAAAAGTGTAGATTTACTTGTTCAGAGTAAAAACTATCTCTGTCTTTGTTGTTAAACGTGTCTAAAGAATAAATAATATACATATGGTTTTGGAATATTAGCGATTTTCAATGTTTAGGCTTTAGTCGCTAACCAACCCATTATCCAATCTTCTCACTGCCATTCTTACTACCGCAAAATTAGGGTTGCAGATTATGATCACATTGTAAATTCAGGAAGTGGATAAGAATTGAAAAGATTCTTTGAATCCTCTTAAAAACCCTCTTATCAAAACCGTGTTCTATCCAAACTGTTGACTTTTTTCGCCCATTATACTAACATACGTCATACAAAACTGAGGGAAAGTCTTCGTTATCTGATTTTGAGATTTTTCTTTTTCAAATAAGGCAAACAGCGATTTATATATATGTTTATAAATTATTTTGTAGTATATTTTGTGAAAAACATATCAAAAGTAAAAACAAATCGTTATCTCGATAGTACAGTAACATTCGTGTTTCCTCTACCTGAAGTGTTTACTTGTTGCAGTTAGTTTGGTATTTAAGACCTAGCTACTTTGTACAACTACCATGACTCTGTGATAGATGTCAACTGCTAATGGACAAACGTATAACGAAGATTCAGGTATATAATGACTATGGGCAGTGTTTATGGACGGCGCTATGATCTAGGGACATATTTGCCATTTTGTTTGTATGATATGAAGGCCGATGGTTTTGATAATGTTCATAAGTGTGCCTTGTGGTGTTACTGTCAATTCGTGAGTTCTGATGAGAGGACGTGACTTTACACGAGTTGGATCTAGAATAAGATGGCGGGTGTCGTCGATGAAGACGCTTACCCTTGCGGAACACCTGGTCTTATTATCCTTTTACTGTTTCAAGAATATTCATATAAACAATTCCTTTGTTCAGATTTTCGTCTAATTTTATCAGTTCTGAGTTCAAATCGTAGTTCTGTAAATTCTCGGTTATCTCTCGGTGTTTATTCCAGACATCGAAGTTTCAATGTTTGAAATAACGACCACGCCATTCACTTATTGTAAATCAATGTGTCTCCGTTAAGAAATTATGGCTTAGCAGGTTCTTTATCAACAAGAGATATCTCATCTCTATCCAGGACGCCATGGTACTTGAAACGAAGAAATGACTTAGTAAATCGGCTGTGGCTTGTGCGTTACTTGAAGGAGAGTACAGTTTACTTTTGTGACATGTATGTTTTAAACAAAATGAACATTAGTTCCATACTGTAGAGTAACATCAAGGCGTGATAGGATATGAACATTTGCAAACTTTAAAAAAAACCGTTATAAAATAATGATAGATAGTCCAACTACTCAAAAAAAGATTCCTTTGAATTTTATCAAATCCATGCTGATCCCTGCCACTAAACAGAATATGTTTTATTTGACAATCAACCCTTTCCTGTAATGTATATGCGGATACCATGGCTTTGATATGAAGTTGCTAGAAGATCCTGTTATAAAGTGTTGTTTTGAGGGACAATTGTGTGGTATAGGGGTCCTATTTATAGAAGGTAAATCGGGACCAAAATCCAAAGTTTTACATAGAATCTTCGGTTTGTTAAGATCCCTTCATAAAATGTTGATTGGTGAAAGAGAATGACAATGTTTTCGAAGCTTTGGATGGTCAAATTGTGATTATTTTGACCCAAAAAGGGATAAAATATTAGAAGATTAACAAATTATGACACTTTATCAACAATGCTGAGGTCACTGACACAAAAATACATGTAACTTTTAAAACTAAATTTCCACATTTTATTACCGACACTGGATGAGGAAAAAGGAACAGTGATTATCTACAATGCAATGAGATGAAACATATTTTTTATGTATATTGGAATATCACTTAAGAAAAGTTTATAACGCAAGATGTCACTGATGGCGATCGGCTTACTTCAGTGCATCATAACTCCACAACGCCTATAACGACTGCAGAATTGTAAAACTGTTTTTGCACGGAAAAAGAAAGAAAGAGAAGGACTCTATTTGTGCAGGCTCACTTTTTCGTTTTGGCAATATATTTGCTTGAATTTTGGCCAAAGAAAGATCAAATTTTGTCAATCTTTGGTCAGCGTAACACCGGAAGGTATTGACCAAATATCAGCCACACAAGCACATTCTGGAAGACGCACTAAACTTATTGACAATTCTTCCATTTTTTATGTTTTTTTTTAGGAAATTCGATAGCTCTTAGGAATGTGTTACGTTTAGTTCTGAGTCAGAGATTCCGACGATCGCAGACAATTTGCTTGCATATCTAAACATTGATTTAAAAACAAATATAAACGGACCCAAACTGAGCAAGGATTTTGCTAGCGCACCAAAACATAAATGTTAGACATAAAAATAGACAGACGTAATATATAATGATGAGCAGTAGTTCATGGATTGGAATTTACATTTTTTCTATGTGTGGTATTAAACTTTCCTTACATAACGGGGTC